TTCTTCTGCTCTTCTTGTAGCCAGCCCCAAGTGGCCATTTAAGGAATTGTAAAATCTATTGCTTGAGTGCTAGCTTTATTTTTTTAGCCTAACAGTTAGCTTAGATTAGCACAGAGAATGGAACAGAGGAAGTAGAGTGCAGAGACTCTACCAACTACACCAAAAACAAAGCAAAACAAAACAAAAACAATATGCTAGGTCATCTCTTGACTCAAACAAGAAACACTACATGTGCAGGCTTGTACTTTATAGTATTTTTCCCTTTGTGCTAGGACCACAGTTTTTCTCATACAAAGCTATCTGTGTAAGTTTGTACAACTTCACTTTCAATGGGCAAACAAGAGAGTAATACTGAGAAATACAAAAAACAAAAACTTTTTTTTGGCACTGATGAACTCTGTGCTAATGAGAGTGCTGCTATTATTGTAACGTCCTGTTTGAGCAAGTGAGCACAAATGGCGCGACTTCATTTTTTTTTGTCACAAAAAGAGGAAGCTTACAGTTATTCAGTGACAACACCAGTGACATCATCGGGTGCCAGCATGTCTGTCGGCACATCTGAGTATGTGCGACTACTTAGAAACCAATGCAAAGACACATGCACGCACACACACACACGCACGCGCTTCAGACCAGTCAGACAGCGCTGTCTTCCACCTGTCTCCAGCGTTGCCCGTCCCGGTCATTAAAAGGGTCCCAGAGCCCCACTCTAAGTGCACATGTCAACTGCAAAATTACAGGGCACGCACAAACACATATTTGTTGTGTATTTTGAAAGGGTAATATCTGTCTGCACGCAAGCAATACGTTCATTTTCCTCCTGATAGCTCCTCCTCTTCTCTTTGTGACAAACCCAGAAAACAAAGCAGGTAAGGTTCAAAGACAAAACAAAGGAAAGGAGATAAAGACAGGAGACAGGTCGAGCTGATGGACATATGACATAGGGAAACTTATCATTTCCCTAATGATTCTCCGGTTACTGTGGACTTCACCACAGTGATTACAAACCACTTCTTTAACTGAGGTCGAAGTATCATGATATCTCAGTTTTGTTCTACCACTTAGCTTCCCCTTTTTCTAACTAATAAAGACCACAAAGCCACTGCAGATGCGTGTGATGAAAGCATCGCTGATTGAAAACAAGAGTGCCAGACATTGGCAAGACTTGATTCAGTGTAGCGGGAAGAAGTGCACAGACAAGTTTGACCGGGAGGAAAGACGCAGCATAAAGGAAAACAAATTGCTTCAACTGAAAGATGAAGATCTATTTTCAGACAGTGACATCATCGTTTCTTTTCGCTGCCATTACTTCTGGGTGCGTGAATACGACAAGGAGCACAAACAAGCAATCAAAAACCCTTGGCACCTGAAAGTTGTGTTGTTTTAAACCTGCCCTTTTATTCTCAGCTCTTTCACCGCGTTGCCTTTGGGTAACCTGAGTGCTCTCTTTCCCTTTTCAACATGATCGGTACAAACAATGGCAAACGTCTTTTCTCCTCGGGGTGATTGACTTGGTCTTATTGCGGTTCTTATTTTATGCTTTTCTGCTGAATGAAATCTCGGCTGTATGTCTGAATAGATGCTGACAGGACCTTATTAGCTGCGTTATCCCGAAATACACAGACGTGAGATCACTAGTGGACAACATTGGGCTTGTTGTCACAGCTCAAACCCAATTTTATAATGGCTGTTTTGTCACTTGTCAACATACGGCATGAGTCACGGCATCTTGCCTTAGCCCGAGAGTCAATGAAAATGGCACAGTAGCACGTCTGAACACCATGACAAAGGCATTTAGCATTTCCTATAATTTTTGCACTGGTCACATCCTTCTTCCACGTGTGCTGTAATTTCCCTCCGCTGGATACTCAATAACATCCTGTTGTCTGAGGATATCTGAGGGGACAGATTTTACTGACCCCACCACCACCGCATCGTCACACACTGTTATCCCAGCCCTGGCTAATGACAGCCAGCCAGGAAGCTGTCCCCTGTGATCTCTGTGATTAAAAGCATCCTTATTATTGCCTGGGTATTGTTTTGTTGTGTGTGGATCCCTTTGGACTACTATTATTAAATCGAATTACTGGGACTCGACTGTGACACCAAGAATCTTCGGGAAACACTTCATAAAAGGAAAATGCACAGTGACAGCATCTGAGATGAAAAATAAAAAAATGTCACAACTAACTGCACTGACAGATTACATGAAAACTAGTCAGCCTGTCCCATGATAAAAGATTTATAGCATACATAATATTTTGCACAATGTTGATCTTACTTTTACTCTTTAACTTAAACCTATTTCTACTTTTTTAGTCACTTTTGCATATATACATTTGTACACTGTCTCACAGCATAAGGCCCTCACTTTGCGCTTTGTTGCATTTTTACTTACTTATTTTAACTATGCTGTTTATTTATTGTAGACTGTACTATTTTTACTCATTATCCTGCTGCTGTAGCATGATAATTTCCCTTATGGCATCAATACAGTATCAATCTATCTGTAGATGCTGAAGAAAAGCTTAAAGACAGAGCTGAAGAAGAGATCTACTTACTTACATAGCTCTTATAATGACTAAGCGATGTACAGATTTCACAATCCGTACAAAACTTAGATCTGTTTAGCACAGTTCATCTTGGTACATTAAACTGGTTTTTCCAGTCAGGTGCTGATATCAGTGTCATCTCTTCTCCTTAGATGGGCATCATCGGCAGCTTTCTTTATGCTTTACTGATTTGTTCGTTTTCTTTTTGGTTCGCATTTTAGTCAAACAAAAACCAAAAAGAGCTTCACACATGCAATGAAATGCAGTGCATCACAGGTGCCAGCCTGAGTGGAGGTTTTTTGAATGAGATAAATTTGTGGTAATCCTACACGGTGACACAACAGGTGGTCATCCTTCTTAAACCCCTGCGACAGAGACAGGTGCTTCCGACAATGAGGGCTAGAGTGGGGGTGGGTGGGTTGCGTGGATCTCCGGACAGGCTTTTGACAATGGTGGAAATTGGGCATGGGGGGGTAATTCATGCATGGACAGCTCCTGGCCCATCCCAGCTCTATGTCAAATATACAAGTGCATGAACCCAACTACTCTATGAGCATAAAATAGTCCGCATTGCAAGGTAAACACAAACATGCTCATTCAAACTGTTGAGTGTTTTTTTTTTTTCCTCAGTTTGTCAGGGAAACAGAGGCGTCAGAGGACAATGGCCTGACAATCGGCAAACAGGAAGAGATCCCCTTCACACAGAAGGGTATTCCTGAGTCCAGCTTAAAAAGGGAAGAGGGCTGGAGGTGAGAGGGGCTGTGGGGGTGGGTGAGCGCAGCGACAGCACTTTGACCTCAAAACACCACCACAAACATTTCCGACCTAAAAAAAAATCCATCTAAAGAGATCATATCTATCCGCCCAGGAACAATGCAACAACCTGAACACAGCAGAATAGAATAGAATAGAATTCAACTTTATTGTCATTGCACATGCACAGGTACAGGGCAACGAAATGCAGTTTGCATCCATCCAGAAGTGCTTTAGCACTTTAGCACTAGCAATGACACAACCTGAAATATATCCCGCTCGCAACTACATTTTCTCAACAGAGGAAAAGACAACACAGGTGAAACACTTCTTGCTTTTCCATCACCTGCACTTAGCTGCTCTCATTCTTTACTTTCATTGTAAATTCACCCATGAAAAGATCTCACTGATTAAGAATCTTTTACAGTCTGAACTTTTCAAAGCATTCCACCCGGTTTGACCATGTGACAGCTGGGAAATGCTTCAAGCCAAGTCTAAAAGTAAAAACACTTTCCAATCTCCCTGCAGACATCTGCACGTCTGATCGCCAGCGGTATCCCAACAATGTGTTTCCTTTTTGATGCAAACGCAACTACATAATTAAAGCTGTCACAAGCCTCTTATCTGCATACCTCACGAATGACATGAAGTCAAAATGTTGCGTCACAGATAAATAAACTTATATAAAACAAGTCAGATCACTACTGGAAATACATTTAATTCCATTTAAAAATACACATAATAAGCCAAATAAAACTAAAGCCCATCAGTTCTCTAAGAAACACACTGTATCTTATAATTAATCACTTAGTTCCGCTCATTTCCTCAAGCTATGAGCTGCCTCGGTGAGCCTTATCCTGCGCTATCAGTCATTGTGTAAGAGTAGGTGCCAGAGATAATAATGGTCAAATCAGCGCTGATTGATTAAGCAAGAAGTGGAAGGAAGGGAGGGGACGATGATGAGCAGGAAGCAAAAAGAGTGAAGAGTTGACCGTCCTCTTGTGCTGTCAGATAGATAAGGCTAGTGATGGAGATTCCCAGTGGACTCAGATAACCTTTACCAATAATGTCACTATTTAACAAAGCTGCTCTGTTTAGAGTGGACTGCTAACCTATCAAAAAAGAAAAGAAAAAATAAGATAAACACTGTTTACAGGTCTATACATATTGTGTATTCATTTCTAAATTGAAATGACTTCTACTGGAATTCCAGCTTTATCAAACTGTATTAGTCTATTTTTGCAAGTAGACTGAATAAAAACTACAAAGATCAATAGCAAACACCGAATTCGAAAATGTAGATGCTGATAAGCATCTGACATTGTTTTGAATTCCTTTTAAATTTACTCTAGCAGTTTTTTCAAGAAGTGTTTCAAAGCTTAGCTTAGACCTTGCCATTAAACACTTTATGCTTGCATGAATCCCTGGTTTAGATACAGTTAGGTACAGACTATTTAAACTATTGCATTTCATTTCTTTGTCAGTTATGTTGCTTCTTTAAAGAAGTGTGTAGGCCTACAGGGGAAAGTACTGAACCACGTAATCTCCATTTTATTTGTTTTATTGCACGTAATAGACTACATAAATGATTTCACATTAAAACCTTTTAATTGAGGTTATTAAATGTATTTTAAGTGGTTGGTTAAATCAGGTTCCAAGAATCATCTTCTCGCTATTGGCCAACAGAGGGCGCTGTAAAACATTGGTTGACAGTCAGTGAATTCTCATGAAAGCGCTTGTTGGCTGTGTACAAGTAGCGGTATCTTTTCCACACAAAAGCTTCTGCGGTTTAAGTTTATGTTTTACAGGGCCGCGAGAGTCATTTCAAAAGCACCTTTCCAATCTCTGCGGCAGCTTTTTTGGTTACGAAATTCCCGAAAACTGACGTCCAAAATGTCCTTTCAGTATCCCCAGGCTTACCGCGACGAGTCAGTTGTAAGTAAATGTGGGTTGCTAACTAGCCTAGCGTGCTAATAAGCCGGGATGCTTAATCATCACGCGCTTTCATTCATTGAAAAGAGCGTTCGCTTTGTTAGCATGCTAGTTAGCTTAGCCATCACTGGTAAACCGAGATTGGCTATGTTGACAAAAATGCATGCATTTCAGAGATAGCCATAACTGAACTACAAGTCCAATTTTAGCCTTTCAAGATGCTACGTGATTAACTTTACTAAACACTCTGGGTTTATAACCCCGATTGCTCAACTCTGTTTTGCTTAGCTACTTCACCTTTTAATCATTCCTCTGTGGCTGGTCTCAGGTGGATGACTATCATGGCTGCAAAGTGCCTGACCCTTACAGCTGGCTGGAGGACCCTGACAGTGAAAAGACACAGGTAAACTCCCCGTTACCACTCAAATCACCAGCGAATTCTGTATTTTTTTACTGCCATATTTAGTTGTTGTGTCGCGTTTTGTAATTAAGAAATGTGGGCATGTGATTTGATACTTAAGTGTTGGTATTAAAAGTCACGGGCGCATTTAAAGCGTAGCATCTTTTGATTTCTTTCTTTCTTTTTTTTTTTGCATATTTGTCATACTTACGTGTTTCAGATGAAGCACCTTTTAATATTAGTATAACCCCAGTACATATAAAATGTTTAGCCTATCAGAGGAATTATAGAACAACAATATTGGATTTTCATTTATATATTTCAGTTCTTCCATATTCATTATGGATTTCTGTGGAGAGACACTTTCTTAAAAAGCATAAACTAAGATTAAAAATTGTGTACAATCATGTACGTGTACGTTTTGAGGACACGTTAGCATGCATTGTAATCTGTGCATATCAGACAATTGGTGCACCGGCGTTAAAGGTTTTGTGAGTGAGAGGGATGTTATTCAGTTATGTCCAACTCGTGAAGGTGAACTTAATAAATTGTGCATAAATAATCACTATTTATTCAGGTTTGGATGTACGTGTTTTTAAAATAGTTTTATGTGTGGTCAAATCGATTTGTATGTGGATTGGAACACGCATCTGTGAGTCCTCAAATGTTACACACAAAGTACTGTACACATTTGTAAATCATATTTTTCTCCGTAGGAGTTAGGATGCCGATCGCCTGATCCCTGCTTACCTGTGGCAGTTGTGGAATTGGGGTTAGGGTCAGTTTCGGGGGGGTTTTCGGGTCAGGCGGATATGGCAACTTGGCCTTGCAAGACTACTTTCTAATCCCTTACTCATTACTCGTAGTTGTTTTGTTCTATTTTCATGCACAAAGAATCAGTAGTTGTTGGGTCTGTATGTTTTTAGTGTCTCTTGGTATATTTTAAACTTAACCTAAATTAACAGACTCCTTCAGTTCAATAGATCATGAGACATGAGAAATGAAAAATATGCAAATGTTTAACAAAATTATCTTCTCTAATTAGTATGATCTACAAAACCTAGCTTGTTTGGAGGTTTGGATAGCTTTTTTCCCTTGGGAAAAAATAAGATCTTTATTTAAAAACTGTATTTTGTATTTATTCAGGTTATCGTTGATATTAAAGTTTGATCTAAAACATTTAATCATGACAAATATGCCAAAAAAAGAACTCAGGAAGAGGTGGATACTTTTTCCACAGCAAAGATATCTGCTAAATAATTATTTGCTCTTTTGAGCAGTCTGTTGAAATGATAATGGTAAAATGTAAAGCATGGTTGTATTATGCTTTCTTCCATTAGGCCTTTGTCAGTGCCCAGAACAAGCTCACTTTGCCATTTTTAGAGCACTGTGAGGTGCGAGAGCTGTTCAAAGAGCGCATGACTGAGCTGTATGACTATCCCAAGTATAGCTGTCCCTTCAAGAGAGGAAGCAGGTACAGCTTGCTGCAACTGATTCCATAATAATATTTTTGATGTTGGATTTCAGCTTTAGTGTTAGATGACAGAGTGATTATGTGACATTCCAGTAGCTTTTCTCTTTGTTTTTTAGGTACTTTCACTTTTACAACACGGGCCTCCAGAACCAGAGTGTGATGTATGTGCAAGAGAACCTAGATGCCGAGCCCACAGTCTTCTTAGATCCAAACACATTTTCTGAGGATGGGACAGTTGCTCTGCGAGGTATCAGCCGTGGCTATTATAAAAGCAAAGTACCCATTTTACTGATATGAAAAAATATGTTGCCTGCATTTCTGGATCGTGTGCTCTTTTTAATTTTAGTAATTTTAGTAATACATTTAGTTCAAAATTGCCTTTCAAGTAATAGTTGCTTCATGTGGTAGTTTTTACTCAGTTTTGAATAAAAATCTCTACAAATGTAGTGTCCTCTCTGATGTCTAAATTTTGTTAAGTTTCCTTGTTAACATTCTATTTATGTTTCTCTGATTTCTTCAAGGCTATGCATTCTCTGAGGATGGAGAGTACTTGGCATATGGCACTAGTGCCAGTGGGTCTGACTGGGTGGAGATCCGCTTTCTGCGCGTTGAGGGCGCCGTGCCTTTAGAGGACCGCCTGGAGCGAGTCAAGTTTAGCTGCATGTCCTGGACCCACGATGGGAAGGGGCTTTTTTACAACTCGTATCCTGACCAGGAGGGCAAAAGTGATGGTAAGACTGTGTTGGACAGGATTCAAACATTCTCAAATACTAAACCTTCATTTGGCTGCAGTAAATTACCTTCAAAATATGAAATACTTATAAGATAATTGACATTCTTGGAACTCAGTCTGCCTACCTAGCCTCATGGGACAGGGCTCTCTGCCAGGACAGAAGAAAATGGATTAATGGATATCTGCTTAAGGACTTGCTTTTCTGTGCACTGGCCAGTTACCATTTAAAAAAGCTAATGAAAAGCTAAATTGTCATTAGATAATTGCTAGCGGTTTCAAATGTATATAGCTCCAAATGCAGTCTACATAGACTGTTAAACTGCATGCAGCAGCAATGTCTGCTCAAACGTGAGTGGAAAATAAAACTTGATCAAAGACAGCATTAATGTATTATTATAATTTAAAAAAAACCAAACCAACAACCTTGAATTAAGAATAAAAAAACACATGTTAGCTGTTGAGGAATTACAGACATTTTCATACACAGACCTCCGTTTTCATAGACTGAAATTGCTAACCGACTGACAAGCATTTCAATGGCCAGGTGAGGCCTGTTCCATTGTTATTTCATGACAAATGAGTCAAAGTGCTGATTTTTTTTTGTAACATTTGTAACAGCTTTTCACTGTCATCATTAGACTAAAAAACTAAAAACCAAAAATAAAGAGATCCGGGAGCTTTAGACAACAAAGTTGGATGATGACAAAATTATTTTCATGGTTTAGAAAAGTTAGTTTACACTAACACGACAAGAACACGACAAATTGTCAAGGTACAGCAGGAAATGCAGCAGTTTGCACTTTGCTGTAAAGTGAAAACTGCTCATTACAGTCAAGAACAGGAAGACCAGATTAGATGTTACCAGAAATCATCTAAAAGAATCTGCATTGTTCTGGGAAGGAAATAAAAAACAAACAAATTTGAACTTTTTACCAGATGATGACAAGAGAAAAGTATGGAGAAGCGTGCCACGTTACCAGTCAGACATGACTTATAATGTCAGTGGAAATGGATCACTGGTCTTTATTAATGATGTAAGTGTTGAAAGAAATAGCAGTATGAGTTGTGAAGTGTACAGGTTTATACTCGCTCGGTTTCAGCCAAATGCTACAAAACTCATAGGACAGTGCTTAAACAGGGCAAATGAATATTATCCCAAAGCATACTGCAAAAGCAACCAAAGAGTTACTCAAGGCAAAGAAATTGGATGTTCTTCAGTGGTCAAGTCAGTAAGCTGTTGTCATTCCAATAGAGCAAAGTGCACAAATGCAGAAAGACTCACAAACAAGCACCAAATGAAGGCCTAGCAGAGCATCTCCAGGGAGGTGAACCACAGCATTTGGTGATGTTTGCCGGTTTTAGACAGTCAAAGATTGTAAATGGTTTTCTTCCATGTAAAGTTACGTTTGTATGTCCAATTACTTTTGAGCCACTGTAAATGGACAATGTATTTAATGTCATAAGGCGAAATGTTTGTTATTTGTCAATATTTGTTATTTTCTGTTTATTGTTTTGAAACCTTTTGTTATCTAGTATTATAAAATTTGCACCCACTCGTAACACTCTTCGTCTTTTTGTATTCGATTTTGTTTTTTGCTTTCAGGCACTGAGACCTCCACTAACCTGCATCAGAAGTTATACTATCATGTTCTGGGGACTCCACAGTCTGAGGACGTCCTATGTGCAGAGTTTCCTGATCACCCCAAATGGATGAGTGGAGCAGAAGTATGTGTGAAGTTGTTTTTTTTCCCCCTCTACTGTCATGTCATCAAACTTGGACAGAATGCATGTTTTAGTTGGCATTCAGGTGCAGTTTAATGATTGCAGATGTACTGTAGGTATCAGAAGATGGGCGCTACGTGCTGCTGTCTATCAGAGAAGGTTGTGATCCTGTCAACAGACTGTGGTATTGTGACCTCAAGACCACTCCTCAGGGTATTACAGGTATTCTGTACTTGTTTCTCTTTATTTCTCAAAGTATTTTGGTACTTTAAGACAAATATTGTTCTTCTTGTAGTCTTACTCGCTTAACAGTTTGATTTTAGAACTGAAATCCTTGTTTGCTCAGGACTTTTGCCATGGGTAAAATTAATCGACAACTTTGACGCCGAGTACGAATACGTGACGAACGAGGGCACATTGTTCACCTTCAAGACCAACTTAGACGCCCCTCGTTACAGACTAATCAACATCGACTTTGCCTCTCCGGAGCAGAGCAGCTGGAAGGAGCTCCTGCCTCAACATGAGAAGGATGTCATTGGTGAGGTTCTGCAACACGTGCATGACCTTTTCCCTATAAAATATGAAGCGTTAGCAGTTTAGCCCTGTCATTAAATGTACATTTCAATGTCATTCATTCTTTTGCCATGTCTTCCTTGCAGTGTTTGCCACCTGTACATACTCCAGCTATTTGTTCGTGTGCTTCCTCCATGATGTGAAGAATGTGTTGAAAATGTATCGTCTGAGCTCAGGAGAGGAGCTGAGGACCTTCCCTCTTGATGTTGGATCCATAGTAGGGTTCACAGGACGAAAGCGAGACTCTGAAATCTTCTATTATTTCACTTCTTTCCTATCGCCAGGTACTATAATGCAAAAGTTATTATTTTTAATCAAAAAAAGCTATTTTGTTTATCAGATGCCTTGTCTCGCAATTTCTACCTGTGCAAATATTGTTGTTTAAGTGAAATAAGTCAACCTTTATGTTAAGTTTGTATAAATAAGAAACAAGTAATGCAATTTTGTTCTCATTTCTAAGTTCCACGTATTATTTCATTAAGTAAATTTGTACTGTCTTTAAGAATTCACTGATTGTGAAGTGATTTCAAAATAGTAAAGAAAATGAAACTTTTACTTTCTTTTCATCTAGCCATCATTTACCACTGTGACCTAACCAAGGAGCCCCTGCAGCCCCATATCTTCAGAGAGGTCACTGTCAAAGGCTTCAACCCCTCCGACTACCAGACCACACAGGTAACTAGAGCCTAGACTGGGATTACCAGTGTTTAAATAGGTGTGTTTCATTTCTCTTTAAAAATAGGCTGCGGTAAACACATTTATTAAAAGATATCTCAACAGTTAATTATGCATAAATGCCCAACTTTAACCTAGTTTTTAAAGTACTGACCCAGCATTTATCCAAAATGACAGACATAAAACGGTGGTGTACAGGCCAGTTTGTACCCTGACAAACAAAATGAAGGGTTTTATCAATTGTCTGGCTCGAAAACGGCAAACTGAGGGCAAACTATCGGCTTAGGGTTGTTGTAGAAAAGGTGGGCTAAATCAGGTATTGGTAGCATTTATTAACGTAAGCAGCACTCAAACTGAGCTTTCAAAGTAGTTTTTTTTTTAACTAGAACTGTACCCTAATAGTCAAATCATCAGATATTTGTTTCTTAGTTTAATTTTGTGATTTTTAGATGTTGTATGTTTCTAAACATGAGGCTATAAACCAAGTCAGCATGGGTGTGTTCACAGTAGTAACTGTCACATGTCAGTTCACCTTGTTGTGGCAAATAAGCAACTTTTTCTGACTGAAGCATAACGGGAAGGATTGCTCGGCCGTCATAGGAGACATGAGCCCTTTCTCTTTAAATGTAGCCAAAGTAACAGCCATTAATTCTGATTTATTAAAAAAAAAAGATTGATTGCCAGATGGAGTTGGAAGCTGATCACCTGTGGAGAGAAATGAAAGAGAAAGAAATTTTGCAATTAGTCATAAGATTTGAAGCTTTTATGTTATGATAGATGTTGTCAGTGTCCCTGGGAAATGATTATGGGCCAGGAATGGATGACCTGACATAGCTGATTTTATATTTAAGTGGTTCAGATTCCTGAGAAACTTGCAGTAAATTGTCCTTTAGATAGTCTAGCCTTGGCCAGACCATGTTTCAAATTCTTTTTACTTCCTCTGTACATATAGTGTCCCAGAGTTAGATATATTTATATACTTCTGCTGAAAACAGCGGCCTCGAAAATAGCTCTGTAAGTGTAAAATGTTCACGATGCAGACAGGATTTTAAAAGAGCTCCTGTCTTCTCTTGTCTTCTGACTCAGAAACAAGGATAGACTGGTGATGTAAGCTTTACTGTTCTTTACCTTTTCGTAATTCACTTCCCATCTCCTTTTGTTTCCCTGACAATCTTCTTTTTTTTTTCTCTCTCTTGTTGTCTCAGATCTTTTTTCCCTCAAAGGATGGCACTCAGATACCCATGTTCATTGTTCACAAGAAGGGCATCAAAATGGACGGCTCCCATCCAGGTTTTTTATATGGCTACGGGGGCTTTAACATCTCCATCACGCCAAGCTACAGCGTGTCCAGACTCATCTTTGTCAGACATCTGGGAGGAGTTTTAGCTGTCGCCAACATCAGAGGAGGAGGAGAATATGGGGAGACCTGGCACAAAGGTGAGGAGCTTTTGACACGTAATTATAAACATGACTACAGAGCTCAATCGCAAGGGCATGTCCAGTTTGCCCTGTTAGAAAACGCCTGTGTTTGTGTGTGTTTGTAGCACATACAGTAGATTGTGTCTTGTCTTTCAATAATGACATCTTTAGTTAAAAGTTTGAAATGAATATATTTGCATATTGAGAGATTCTGGAGTTTTCTGTGGCTGAGGAGGCATAAATGTTGTTTTTAAGAATTTCTAACCTGACAAGCATAAAAAAAACATATCAGACACACATTATTATTCAAAGCAGAATAATTTTAGATCTTTTCAAACGTGCCTGGAGGGAATCTTTTAAATATTACCAGTGCAAAGTCCTCATTTACATACTTTGTATTCTTTTTTTTCCAGCTGGCATGCTGGCAAATAAACAGAACTGCTTCACAGACTTCCAGTGTGCAGCTGAATATCTAATCAAGGAGGGATACACTTCTCCCTCCAAACTGACTATAAATGGAGGCTCCAATGGTGGCCTGCTTGTAGGTATGTATGCTTCCACTAAAGAACAAGATACACTAAAACAATATAATCGCAGCAAATGGATATAGATGATGATGTTTCTGAATCCTTGGTGTCCTGTCTCAGCGGCCTGTGTAAACGAGCGGCCTGAGCTGTTTGGATGTGCAGTAGCTCAGGTGGGCGTCATGGACATGCTGAAGTTCCACAAGTTCACAATCGGGCACGCCTGGACCACGGACTTTGGCTGTTCAGAAGACAAAGAGCAGTTTGAATGGCTGATCAAGTAGGTGCTCTCTGACCACAGTGTAGATTTTAATGTGTATTATATACTGTAGGCTGCATTTACTTCAGCTGCCTTTCTTTATACATTTTAATCTGAGCTTCACTGATTACATTGGCTACATGGACATAAAAAAAATGTGTTCCCAGTCCCAAGTAGCTATTAGCTGAAAACCTGGCATATTTCAGCATGGTGTGCAGCATGTCCTTTAAAGAATTGAGGAAACTGGACAAGTGGAGGACAAAAGAAAAAGTTCCAGGCCTAAAACCCTGTCTGTAGCAGATAAAGTGTCTGAAGGTCATTTCCTTAAGGAATGGGGATTTAAAAAGTCCAGTTGTCAAGAAGCCATTGCTAAGGAAGAGAAACAGGGAGGAGGCGGAGTTATGCCAAATTACACAAAGACTGGATTGAAGATCAGTGGTAACAGGTCTTTATGGTGTGATGAATATATACAGAGGCTGAGATGTAGTGGTTTTGAGCTACATCTCAGCCAGTGGTGTTGGTGATCTTGTCAAATTTTAAGGAATTATGAATTTGGAAAACATTCTCAGATTTTAATCCACCAGGCAATACAGTTTGGAAAGCATGTGATTGACAGCAGCTTCATTTTTTTTAGCATTACAATGATCCTCAACACACAGTTAATGCAGTAAAAGCATACACAAATAGAAAAATAAAAATACACCATGAAACACTGTCAGTCATGGATGGGTCTCCCCAGAACCCAGACTTTAGCATTACTGAAGCAGTGTGAGATCATCTTGACAGAGAACAGATCAAAGGGTACCCAACATCCAAAGAAGATCTTTGAAGAATCCCGAGGACTACCAAAACATGACAAGAAATCTTTCCTAAGAGAGTTCAGGCTGTGTTGAGGAATAAAGGTGGTCATACCAAATATCGACTTTCATGCTTATTAGAATTGTACAGTCTCAGCTTTTAGCTTGTATACTGTATTCCCTTGTGTTCGTGTGCCCATTTTAATAAATAACTTAATCTGTGCGGTAATTTTCTTTGCAAAATATAAAGAAATAAGGATTGACTCAAGACTCTGGCACAGTACTGTATTTTAATGAAATATCTAATTCCAGGAGTTATCCTTGAGTCTTGATTTGAGAACTGAAGCTCACAAAGAAATTCAGAACAAACAAAATTACCCGACTGTTTCGTTTGTGATGTAGGATAGCAGTGTGAATATTTTAAGGTTAAACAAAATATATTTTGTACTCCAACATTATCATTGCTCTGACATTTTTATAGAGGGATTCTGCTGTTTACTTAATATTTAAACGGTTGCAGTCCTAACAAAGATCCCACTGGTCCTCTCTCGCAGATACTCCCCGCTTCATAACATCCGTGTACCAGAAGGCAATGGGGTCCAGTACCCCGCTGTGCTTTTGCTGACAGGCGACCACGATGACCGGGTAGTGCCTCTGCATTCCCTCAAGTACATCGCCACTCTGCAGCACATTGTAGGTCGCAGCCCCAAGCAGACAAATCCCCTTTTCATCCTTGTGGACACAAAGTCAGGCCACGGTGCTGGAAAGCCCACAAGCAAAGTCATTCAGGAGGTGGCTGACACTTACGCCTTCATCGCTCGCTGTCTCAACATCTCTTGGGTCAAATAACCTGCATCTACCTTTTAAAGTGTGTGGGGTTTCTTTTTTTCTTTTTTAAATCTTTTGGTCAAACCATATTTAGAATACCGTTAATACCAGAATACCGTTAATACCAGATGTTGACACATTGTTTATAGCACTGCTACCTTCCCCCCCCTTTTTTTTTTTTGTGCTGATCTGTTTTTGTCCCTCCCCCTGTGTGAGCAGATTAGATCACAGAGTCATCAGGCTCTGCACAAATATAAGCCAACATGCATCTCTCACACCTAATGTGTTGTTTGTTTTGTGTAGTCACAGGGGGCTCTTTTCAAGGATGATGCAGTAATCAGCCAATCAGCCGTTAAAGTCATGAGGTGAAAATAGCAAAAAGTTCATTTCAAGATTGTTCCTGCTCCCTTTGGGTGCTGCAACGTGATGTGTGTGTGTAATTTATTTCTGGATTGTGCGCAGAATGGAGTCTGTTTGATGTCAGATGAAATCAGTACATACAAATGTTAGTGACAGTATTACACGGATGATGGTACTGCTGGTGGATGAAATGAAAACAAATGCAAAAAAAA